GATAATTATTTGTTAACAAGTCTTAATGCACCAACAAACTTTTTGTTTTCTTATTCACATTGCTATTTCTGCATGTACTTGATAATCACCGTCTCCATTTCACCGCAGAATTGAGGGTACATATAAATCCCCATTTCTTGATTAATGAAAGAGAATTAGGGAGTATCTACCGTACTCAGACAAATTTTCCAAACAATCATATTTGGACTTTTAATTACACAAAACCTCCGGTTTCCAACTTAATTAGAAAAACCGACCTGGTTTCAGCCCTGTCGCTGAAACCAGGTCGGTTTTTGAATTTTTTTTTTTTACGAAACTTCACGGGAGTTGAACTCCCGTGAAGTTTAGCATAGTTTTAAACTTCACGGGTGTTCAACTCCCGTGAAGCTTAATTTTTTCAAAAATCTTCACGGGAGTTAAAATCCCGTGAAGATTTACACTAACAACATACTTCACGGGAGTTCACCTCCCGTGAAGTCTGTCACAGGATTAAAAACTCCACAGGAGTTCAATGAACTCCCGTGAAGTTACAGGGCAATTTTCCCAGAGAATCGCTCTTTGGGAAATTTAGACTGCAACTTCACGAGAGTTGAACTCCCGTGAAGCTGCAGGTTTTACAAAACATGCACAGGCTGCTGTGCTGTGCATGTTTTATATACATCTACCTATTTAACTCATATATACAGCTATTTACCTATTAACAACAATTACTACAATATATATATGATTTAAACACGCACGAATCAAACAATACTAAAAAAGATCAAATATCAAGCTATAATTGATCCACAAAAGTATAGTATTTAAAAATTCACACAAGTTACAAATTTTAACAAAATAAGTTCAAATACAACCCAATATAGCTTCTCTCCTTCCTCTCCCTCTCTTCCCCCTCCCCCTCGCTCTTCCCCGCTCCCCGCGTTCCTGCCGATGAGTCTTGACTATTTTGAGTATCCGGTTGTGTATGAGGCTAAGAAGTGCCGGCTCCATTAGCATGCGAAGTGCCGGCTCCATCGGCATGCAAAGTGCCAGCGTCATCGTCACGTGACCGTCGACGTCGAGTGTACGCCTGCCTAAATGATCGAGACCTGTCCTCACGGCCTGTGAACTTGTCCAGCTGATGGTTGTGGGTCACGCGTGATCCATCTACGTGTGATACCTTAATACCAACGCATATACACGGTATAGTCAACAGCTGTGGGCCTCGTATCCTGGATGAAATCTCACCTGTGAGCCCACTTGTCTATGTAGGCCGCACGGAATATGACCCAGTCCGTATGGTGCAAAGTAGGTCGTCGCCGACGATCGATCTGCCCGACAGGATCTGGCACATGCTGCGAGAGCGTAAACTGTCGTAACACACGATCAGGGACATGCATCTCCACGATCTTCCAACAAATCAATGGAACTCTGGCTCTCCACAAGTCGGGAGTATCTCCACAGATGGGTGCAAGAGAATGCATATTGAGCTCCGACGGTGTATAGGATCTCCACTTGCACTGAAATAAAATAAAACATTTATCAGTATCAACAACAAAAATATAATATTTATAACGACTTATATTTACCTGTTCATGTTGGAGGCCATCAAGCTCATTTCGATAAAACTCACGATGGCGCGTCGCTGATCGGTACCTAGCGTACCGCACGTTATACCTATATGCAGAATAGAGAATATATAAGTATAAATTCAGTACGAATAAAATTTGTGTACAATTATACCTGTACGCCAAAGGAAACTACCCCTGTAGGTCACGGTGCATAAGTAAAGTAAGGCGTCCAATATGAATACGCTCCCATGACCAAATCTGTATCAATGTGCAGCATCCATTGAATTCTTTAT